CAGAATAACGGTTGTCTAAGCACCTCCTCCTTTGTTCTTGGTTCCTTTACTCTTGCCGGGAAGACTTCCGCCCATATTTTGAGTAATTGCGCCCAATATGTACCCCTAGCAGATCCTTCAACTGATCCATGTTCCTCCCCAGCTGTCTGTTCTCCCATTTTATCCTTTTTAGTCCAGCCCTTGCAAAATAGCCAAAATGTACCCTTCTGGGACCCATCGTAGGTGTGGCTGTGTTAACAACTTAATAATCCACTTAGTTTGGAGAGCCCTTATCTGTTGTCCCGGATCCAAGACTCCCAACCCTCCCTTGTCTTTTGGTTGAATAATTTGCATCTATGCGACCTTTGATATAAAAGTCGGTTTCGTTGGATTTGCTGTCCATAAATACGCCGCTGCCACCCTCCTTAATTTTTGAAGCTCATGTGTGGGAGGTGTCCATATTGTTCCAACATACCATAGCATGGAGAAGATGGAAGCATTTAATAGCAGTGATCTCCCGAAGAGTGAAGTACGTATTTCCAACCACGCTGCCAACTTTAATAACATTTTTGTCATCCGTTCTGGTGCCATGGAGTGGTGAGGACCCGTATCCGCCATTCTAATCCCGAAGTATCTCATTGACTGATCCGACGGTAACCAAGTCCTTCCCCCATAGCTCTGCGGGTGATACTGTGCCTGATGTTCATCATGTGATAACCACCACCCCATCGTCTTAGGCCAATTGATTCTCATCTCTGATGCCAGCTGGAATGCCTCCATTGCTCTCGTTAGAGCTTGAAATGAAGAATCTGTCGCTCTGATTAGTACCGTCAGATCATCCGCAAATAATATCGTTGTCGGGAGGTGTATAACCCTTCCCTGGTGATCCGGTTTAGCTATCAAACGATCTATGGAAGGATCTTTCCTGAGGAATGATGCAATCGCTTCCATTATGAACAAAAAAATAGGAGCCGCTAAGGGGTCCCCCTGCCTCACCGACCTCATCATTTTATACCGAGCCGACAGGTGTTCATTAACCTGGACCTGTCCGTGTGCATCGTTATACAGAACTCGAATCCATTTACGAAAGTTACCCACTCCCATCTTCTCCATGCATTGCTGAAAAAAGTTCCAATTTACCTGATCATATGCTTTTTCGAAGTTGACGAAGAGGATCGCAGCATTTATTGTCTTATTCGTAATATACCTTACTGATTCTGATAAAGTCATGACATTATCCAATATGAATCTCCCCGGTATAAAGCCCGTTTGATCCAGGTGAAAACAACCTTTTGTAAGGCGGTTACCCCATACCCTCCTTTTGCCAGGCTTGATTGAGAAAGGATTCATATTCTACCCCCAGGATAGGCCAAAACTCCATCCAGAATTCCTTAGTCAACCCATCCCTACCTGGCATCTTGTTAGGAGGCATAGACTGTAGGGCTTCCCTCAATTCCTCCTGTGACAAAGGAGCATCCAATTTTTCTGCCTGCTCCCTCTTCACTGTACATTCCAAATATGTCAAGAACTTATTTATGACTTCCTTCAATTGATGAAAGGTATGTTCCTCTTCTCTTGAAGTGTATAATGTGCTATAGTATTCTTGCACCACCAAGAGCATCCCTTCTGGATCAGGGACCATTCCCTGCGGTCCTTCCAACTGTTCTATTAACTTGTTTCTTCGCCTTGCTTTAATCTTTTGAAAGAAATACTTAGTCATTCTTTCTCCCTCTTCCCATTCTTTCACTCTCGCTCTCATCTGGAGGCCCCTAGCCCTCCATGTCTCCCAGTCCCCCAATTTATTTCTTGCTGATTCTATTATTCTCTCGTACATCTCCGAACCTGGGTTATTAATTAGATTCCTTTCGGCTATGCATAATGCTGTTTGCAGCTCTATTTCCCTTGCCATCCGTTTTGCTGCCATCTGTCTGGCTACTGCTGCCGTCGCTGCCGACATGGCTTCCAAAAGGTCTGCGAAGGATTGTGTGTCCGGCCTATGTGTTAAACACACTTGCAAAATAGCCTCCCTCAACTCTTTGGTTCTTAAGAACGAATTATTAACCTTATAAAAACTCTTTCCTCTATGGACATGTTTATCCAGAATGAAATTCAGCAATATAGGTTTATGATCTAAACACGTACAATATGGTAAGTCCCCTATATCCACCGAGTGTAGTATTCCCATAGTGTCCTGCGATATAAGGAAATAGTCTATCCTTGATGCTGAAATATGCTGACTACGATTTCTTTTATAATACGTGAACTGTTTCTCTTCAGGTCGTTGAAGTCTGAATGGGTCTACCAGATCCCCTGCCACCATCAGGTTATGAACARGCAGGGCTTCGTCCCACATCATACCTTCCCCCAAGCCTGACCTTCCACCTAGTATTCTATCCTTGSTAGGATCCAAAGTAGCATTCCAATCCCCTGCCAATATGAGGTGCCTTGACGGTTCTAAGCGATTTTGTAGTGACCGTATCATGTCTGACCTCTGATGTCCCCCATTAGGGCAATAGACTGTAAAGAGCGTAAATTGCTCATCCTGATACATAAAATTGAGTTTTATCCACCGACCGTCGTCTTCATCTACAACAACATCTTGTACGACTATTTTATCTGCCGCCAACAAGTTTCTATTCAGCAAAATTACTACACCTGCTGAGTGTGACCTGCCCGCTATTCCGTAAGGTGAGTTTCCTGCAAGCATAAAAAATCCGGAAGCGACTTCCCAAACCAGTTTGAATACCTCATAACGTTGTCCCATTTGTCCTTGTTATCCAATATTTGTACCATCCTATTAATGTTCCAAGAGATGACCCTAAGGTCCGGTTCTCTTCGTTTTACCTTTTCCTGCACCCTTCTTCGTTTAAACTCTCTCTCTCTCACCCTCTCATCCAAGTCGATCCAGCAGAATGGGCATGGAACATCAAGGGAAGAATGTCAAGGGTAACCAGGAGATTTAACATACTTAAGTACTCCACTAAACTGGGCTATCGGCTGAGGGGGAGATCAAGCCATTTGGACCACATATTGGCAGCAAGATGGGAGAAGAAAGGGCATGTTCCAAGGGAACAGCTGGAAAAGCTACCATGGTCAACTCTACACAGTATCAGATTGGCCAAGGTCAGGAGTATGCAGTGGCTCATCTTTCATTTAGCACTTCCAGTCAATGCCTGGTTGTATGAAAGACGAAGCAGTTCCAATAGGAATGAAGAGGATCAAAATTGTGGAATGTGTTTGGGGGGTGTTCAGGAAACACTGTTCCATTGTTTGCTGTACTGCCCCGAAGCAGAACATCTCTGGTCGCTAGCCTGTGCATTATGGGCATGCACTACGGAGCTCCCCTTCCCGAGGAATATGAAACTACTATTGATTGGAGTTGAGGTTCCTAGGGGATGGCGAGTGGGACATAAGTTTATTTTTCAACTACTAAGACAGTATACTTTATGGAGAATTTGGAAACGAAGATGCCAGAGGGTGATAGGCAATATTCTGATGACGAGAATGGAAGCCAGGGCGATTCTCTATAGTCTGCTGGAGACAGAGATTAGGGCGTTATGGTTAAGGACAAGGAAGCAAATGGCCTTTAACCCTGAAAGGGCAAAGGATACCTTAGCCAAATTCCAGAATAGGGTACTGGGCCAAGGCAAAGTTGCTTCTATAGAAGGACAAAGACTTATCTTCCAGTGGTTTAAAAATGATCCTCATGGGGAGGCTATGGATCTTCAGGGGGTAACACAGGAACTTAGGCAGCCATAATAAGTTAAAGGAGACAGGGGAAGGAAGGATAAGTCAAGGGGTTTAGGGTCGAGGGTATATAGGTATGCCAGGGTAGGATAAGTCAAGTGTTTTTTAAGGGTTTAATGAATATAGTGCAGGAAGGGATCAGGTCCTCATGGACTATAGATGATAGCAGTTTAGTTGGGAGTGGAGAAAGGGCACAGCACAAGTTTACCTGCAGGTTTTGGTTCCGACCGAGTGTTTAGGGTTTAGGGTTTAGGGCTTACGCAGAAATAGGTTAAATATGGTTATGAAGGCATAAGACAGTTCAAAAGACTCATAAGTGTCCCAGCAGGCTCTTGCAAAACATATATACCCGACAGCTTTATAGCTGAGAGGAGCAGAGTGGGGATCAGTTAG